CCCTAACCCCAACCCCACCGCGCCCGCGCGACCTGCCGTTAGCGGACTTGCACGGGTTCCACCCACCCACCCTTCACTACTTCCAGCCCTCTTACCCCCTAGTTCTTACTATTTAAACTTGTTTTTATTTTTTTTATATTATTACTTACTTACTATATATTATTTCTATTCTTTAACCCTTAAATTCTCTACAATCCCTATTATATATTTCTCTTTACCTATAACCTCTATCTATCTGTCTCTTTTCTTTTCTTTTCTTTTTTTATGTAAATTGAGCATTAGCGTATCGAATGTACCAAGCCTGCGTCATCGCCGGAGACGGAAAAGAAGCTCATCTACTGAAGATTGTGTGTCGACGTTAGTATCGATCCGTATCTGTACAGTGAGTGAGTGAGTACAGAGTAGTACGAGTACATCACAATAAAAGGTCTCGGCTGGAAAGAGGGGGCAGGATTAGATTTCCTAGGTAGCATAGATAGATAATAGCGAGATCAAAAGCCGAAGAGGCGAGAGGTCAATATAAAATTAAAAAGTATCCCAAGATCTTGGTCTCAAATTCGCGACTTCGTCCTGTTGCTCGGCCTTTGGCGTTCTCTGATCCTCTCTCTCTCTGCCTGTCTGCCTGGATGCAAGGATATGATTGGCTGTGACTGAGAATCTGCATGTGTTACATTGTGGCACAGATGTAACTCACATTTCAGCTGCTGTGTAACCCGGGGAGATGGAGGCTGCAGAAATCACCCGCCTCGGTCGACAATAGGAGGGTGTCGAGGTGTCAACAGGAGAGGCCCCGACCGGGTACTCGGTGACATGGAGGTGAGGGGTATAATGCAGTGAAAAGCAAAGTACATGTACCTTTTTTTCCCTCTCATTTCATTTGCTTTTTAAGGGACTGTAGCCTGTAGAAAATCATATCTTGGTGTCTTGCTTTGATGCACTGTAGAGAGATAACTCACGACTTATAGGCTATCTACTTCAGCTACTCACCCATTCTCATATTGGTGACTCCCACTGACGCGCATGGTAGCATCGAGGCTTGATCGATCTCTTTTACTGTAGGCAGCCATCCGTACTCTCTCACTTAGCAGTCTGTCTGCTTGTCTACCTGGTCAATCACACCTCTTGGCCCCCTCGTAACCCCAAAGCTCACACCAATGCGAGAAATACATACATACATGCTTGCAGCAGGGTTCTCGATATAAGGTTCACTAACCTGATCGCTTCCATCGATAGATATCTCCGGGGCCCTTGTCCACTGTGACTGTACTGTATTGTTGTGTTGCACGTGTACTGTACCCTGTCTTGTCTTGTTTTGTCCCGTCTTGTTCTGTTTGATTTTCTACCAACGAGTCCGAGCCAACAATCTACCAACACTAAACCAAAACATCCCTCTCCTCTCTGCTAACCCGATAAAAAACACGCAGATTGTCTCATTCGTATCTGCAGCATCCGATTCAATTGTTTATCGCAATATGTAATTAAATCTCCGAGCCGCTTTGGTCTCCACTCTGCGATCCAGAACCTCACGATACATCCAATACCTACATACAGTACATACCTACCTCGCTTTACTTTTCTAGCGTCGATCTAATCCCAAACTCTCTCTCTCTCTCTCTCTTCAGCAGGTCGTGAGTAGACGTAGAGCATGTACAGTACATACCTAAAAGAGAGCTGATCATTTCCGCTTGACAAGCCTCATTCCATCATCTCGCATCTTGTCTCCGCCCTAAAATGCCAAGAAGAGAAATAATTTGATCCAAGTATTGCATGCATGGATGGGGCACTCCCGCTCTGTGTGTGCGTGCGTGCTCGGCCTGTCGCGACCCCAAAAACTTCCATAGCTTCATTTCAACCAAAACCGTTTCCGTTATATCCTCTCAATCTCCGTAGAATAAAACTAAACTAACTGCAAAAACGTCAAGGCGTCTTCCTCTGCCATTTGAATTAGCGGTCCGAGCCATTCCCGCCGGCGGAAAAAAAAAACGTGTTTGGTTGATTTTAGCGCCCGGACGGTAACCTTAATCCAACTAAACTAACCTTGTAGCCTCAACCGCGCAACCTCAACCTCAACCTCAACCTCAATCTCAAACAAATAATACACCGTTTTTGTCGATACACATACCTACGTACATCCAATACTTGCAGTGGATGAATAGATGCTTGTGCATACTACGTAGTCCACTGATGTGATATAGCAAGGATGATAAATAGCCTAGCAGCACCCTTGCATCTAAAACAGTCGCAAAATGCATCCGCCTTTGGACCATCGTAGATACGGTCTCTCCATATGCAACCTCGAATCGCGACTCCAGAGCCAATGCCTGAGGACCGACAAGACTGTACTGCACTGTACTGCAATGCACTGTAGTGTAAGATCTTGGCTTGCTACCTCTGTTGAGGCCTTGTTAATTTCCTCAAAAGGCCGTTCTTGCGAGTCAATCATTACACACCAGTCTCATCCATCTTTATCAATGAAAGTTGTCATTATAAGGCCAGACGGAAATCAAGAGAGTGGCATCCAACCACATCTAGCTAACCCATCCACCCATTCATTCATTCATCCACCAACCGTGGAGCCCTGCATTCCGTCAGATTTCATTACCTAGGTAGGCACTGCACTCCACCGTGGCCGTCGCGGATGCACCAGAGGCAAACCGGGTTATCATTGAATGCATACCCTGCTAGGACCCAATCATGCATGTGACATGACTGTGTCTTGATCCTGTTAGCCTCGTATTCTCGACTTATCCCTCTGCCTCCGTCTCTGAGTGCCCTGGTGTCTCAACGCCATCCTCCCACCTGATGCTTCTGCCCCCCACCATCCATCCATCCATCCATCGCCTTCTCCTACAAGCTAGACACTACTCATCAACTTCCCACATAGGTTTTGAAAGCCATTAGCCGGCCATATGGCCGAGCATGAAGCCAAGTATCCACAGTCAACAGGCTGCTGTGTCCTGCAACAACAAGAGGATAGCATAGGATAGGATAGGAAAGAAGTGAAATGACAAGAATTACATTCAGTTAAAACAAAGTACCAAAAACAAAGTGACGAAACCATGTGCCATAAGAAGTGAAAATAAATGCACCCTGGGTATCCTCCTTTCTTCCATTCGCCCCCAAAAACAGAAAGAGAGAGAGAGAGAAAACAAGACCAGCTGATCTCACGTTTTCATGTCTATCCTGTTGTCTCATTTTGCTGCTGCTGCTGCGGTTGGTTGCCTTTGCCGCTATTGATGATGATGCTCTGCTCCTCGTACAATCTCTCTCACCATGCTGCTTTTGCTCGCACATGAAATGTCAGCTTAAACCTGGCATCTAGTTTCTCCAGCTTCTTGTCGTACACGTCGTTATGATTCGCAGCTTTTCTGCCCGCCTTTGCGTATTCAAGGCCACTCTCCTCGCAAAGTGCCAAAATGTTATCAAACGAAGGAGATCCTAGGGTTTGAACCCCAAACTCATGCAATACCATGCTTGTATTCTTGCTCCAGACTATGCCGATATTTGTTTCGTGATTTTTACCTTTATTTTTCTTCCACTTTTAGATCACAAGCTGGACTCTGTAACGCCTAAGTATGGTCTGTGAACGCCGCCAACTTCCACGCTGCAATGTTCGTAACATCTCGCAGCAGTCAATCATGATGTCATGGTCATGTTGATGCCGGACGACGGGATGGGATAGTACCCGCTCGAGGTCGACTTGCCCTCGAAGGGTCCCGGCGGACGATCATTAATCTGAGCTGGCGGGTGGAAGATGCTGGGCAGAGCGGCACCGTCGTAGTCATGCTTGATCTTGCCACTCATGTCCATCCCGGTGGCCATGTGCGGCACAACGTTGTGATCGCGCTCCCCACGGGGGTTGAATAGCTCGATCCGGTCGCTCTGCGCCTCGTACATTGGGGCCGGGTAGTACTGGTACTCTCGGGTCGTGACGACGGCCTTGGAATCCTCCTGAGGAATCATCGACTCGTGCGGTATATCGTGATGACGAACCCCATAGAGGCTGCTGCGGGCGTCGAAACCACCTGTCGCGTAGCTTGGACCACCCATCATGGGATTGTTGAAGTCGGCCATGCCGCTGACGGTGTAACCTCCCATATTGCCCGATGATCCTCCAGGTCCGCTGCTTTGGCTCCCGCGTCTGTCGTTTTGATAGTGGCCCGGCGAGCGGCCTCGGACGATCATCTTGGCCGACTTGCGTGTGGCTATCTTGACGTATTGGTCACCACTGCTCTGATTAGCTACCTCGCCCCAGAGCTCGACAACCAGTTGGTAGTATTGCTGAGCGGCTCTGCGTTTCCCGTTGTTCTGGGTAGCTTGCTTGAACTGAATTCGCTCAAACGTGTGCTCTGTGGGTAACTGTTGGCTGCCAGGCTGATTGCTGAAATTGTCGGGGTAAACAGGACGATTGGGTACGACTGGCTCCGAGAACATGCCCATATGGTGGTGGTGGCTTGCCTGTGGGGGCTTGTTGCTGAGCCGAATTTTTTCAGGCTTCATTATAGGCCCCTTGTCTCTCTTTGGCGTATGCTGTACCAGCTCGATGTTGTGCTGCTCATTGTCGGAGACAACTGCGGAGATAGACATGGCGAATCCAAAGATCGGAACGGGTTGTGATGAGCCACTAGCAGTGTACTGGATAGTGACGTTGGGAATGTGAGGGCTCAGAGAAAAGGAGCAGACGCAAGAGAAGTAGTTCCGGCGATAACACGTCCACTCGTTCTCCGATAAAAAGAAGCCCTTGTCAATGACACCTGAGATATCCACCTTGACAGGTGTTCCTGCGCCATCGTTGTATTGAAGGCTTCCTAGCATATGAACTGGTTGCAAGGGAGGAATGTTATTCTGGGCTGGCCTACCGCCGTACCCGTTGGAGCCCATGCTTGGAGCCGAGAAGCCCGCGTTGGGGCTTGTTGTCGGCGACAGTGGATGTCTTCCTCTTGGCTGCGTGGCAAAGGAGGGCGACCGAACAGAATGCTCGGATGGCCTCCTAAACCCTGGCGTGGCAGGACCGTACTGCTCTCGAGTACTGATCGGTGGACCAGGGTGCGGGAGGCCTGGGGTGCGATTTGATGGGGGATAGGGATGTGCCATCCCCGTCGTAGATGAGTTGCTGCCGGCAGCAGTCAGTTCCTACTCTGTCTGCAATGCTCGATAGAGCTTGTCTTCGGCGTATATCATAATCGGTCCAACCCAGCTCATGTCTCTGTCTTTGCTCGTACACAGGAGACGAGATGGCCAGAGGAGAAGGAGAGCCAAAGGAAAAGAGACAAGGAAGTATGGGATCTAATGGGTATGGTGTGCGGTTGCGGCGGAATCCTCAACCTGGGTGGTGAGGAAGAGAAGAGTGTGCGAGGGCTAAGAAGAGGCTTAAGAATGAAGAGGAAAGAAGAGGACGTACTTGGAACCCAGCCGAGAGCGGACGTCTATACCAGGGTAGAGATGATGATGGCCAGCCGCTTGAGACTGGAAAAAGGCACTTCCGTCCTGGGGGTACTGCGCGGTAGAGCTGAGAACAGGCGGATGGAATAGGTTTAAGAGCGACGAAGGTTGAGAGGGTTCTATCGTCAAAGAAGTACTGGCCTCTTGCGGGTATCTGGCGGCTCATCAGCAAGGCGACCTCAGGCTGACCAGAGAGCAGCAAGAAGCAAAAGAAGTGAGTAGCGATAACGTCAGGTAGACAAGTAGGTTACGGGACGGCAGTGGCAGTTGGCAGTGGCAGCGACAACGGCAAAAGGACGCGGCCACAGAGATGCTGTATTGCCATGTCCTGGAAATACAGTGTTCCCAGTGTCACAGCTTGAGGTGCACGCCAGGTAATACTGTTGGCGGTTGGTGTGCCACAAAACCCGCCGAGCAGTTTCGAGAGGCTACAAAGACGGCCAATGCAGCAGCTCGCGGCACTGTCACTGGCACTGACAATATACACCGGCACTGACACTGGCGCTGGGCGCTGACACGGGGCAGCGTGTAGTCAATGTGGAATAGGTAGGTAGATGCAGACTGCAGTGTATGTAGGCAAGGCAGGCAGTGGGCGTGCAAAAGGGGAGGAGTAGACAACAAGTAGCAGTAAGCGGAAACTCGAATAAAGTAGCAGTGTAGCCAGTGAATGAATGGGTGGGATAGGGTTGGAAGGATACTAGGACTAGTTTCCGGACAAGGTAGCGAATACCACACCCCGGGCGTCAATGTCAAAACCAAAAGAGCTATCCATTGCTTTGTGACAAGCCACCGAGAGAGATCCGAATTAACGGGATGCCAGCGAGCGAGCAAGGACCGTGAGAGCCTGTGAGACGCATGCACTCACTGGCCAGCTTGGGAATCTTCAGCAAGCGAATAAATGCGGCAGGGGATCGCTCCGCCGGCAACAACAGGGGATATAGGTAATATTGAAGAACTCAGAGAGGAGAGGCTGGGTTGGGGATCTTGCGTAATAATTAAAGAATGGGGAATGGAATGCTTGACAGAAAATGGCTGACAGGGCTGCGCTCGCTGCCAGTTACTCCAGCTGTGATGGAACCCTGCCTGACATCGTCCCAGCTAGAGAATAGGTAGGTGGGTAGATGAGATCGAGACAAAGCAGCAATTAAATGGTTCGGTAACGCGAGAGGGGATTGCGTGAGGGAACTTCCCTCAGTTTGATGGTTTCACAAATCTAGTGGGGTTTCCCTCGAGCATAAGAGAGACAGACAATGGTCAATGTCGGGTTCATGAATGGAACTAAGACATGGTAAAAAGAAAAGAAAGGCGACAGGGGTGGTTCTGTAGCGATAGGCAAGGGGAGTTGAAGATAGTGAGTTGCTAATGACTTAAGGGCTAGTTATCAGCTCTTCCCAGAGCCTGACTCAAAGCCGCCACCAAGGTTGAGGCCCGCCAAAACAGCAGCTGAAGAAGTGTACAGAAATGACGACCGATATGCAGGGAAGATAAAAACTATTGTTTTTAGAGAAATATACAATGGTGACTTTCAGAGAGCTGTAACTCGCGAGACCCTTGCCACCAACGACATGGGTATCCTTAGTTTGGTTGGGCTACGGCGTCTTGGGCGAAGAATGGCCCCAGCTCCTAGCTCACAACTCGTGAACAAGGCCGAACCACTCACCATCGCGAACTCCATGGGGGATTGTCAAGTGCAACATGACTGGTTCGACAGAAGCTACACAGAGTAGGCGCATATATACTTAGGGAGGTAAAAACAGCCACGGCCAAAAGGGGATGAAGGCATATTAAAGTAGTCGTGCCGTAACGTAGTCCGGCACCAAAAAACAATGCACGCTGGGAACAGCAAAGGAAAAATGCTAGTAAGACTGACCTCATCTCTCCGGTAGCCGTCGCCATATCCATGTAGCCCATGGTGGGCGTCGAAGATTCGTAGTCCTGTTTGAGAGGCTTCATGTTAGCCTTTGGTCGCGATTGCAAGGTCAATCCGTGACCATGTCCAGGAGATCCAATGAGACCTGTGGGTATCACCGTCTCGACCATACTACAAGTCTGGCAGTGATGCGATGACGACTTGCAAACTCATTTGCTCGATCAAGCTGAGTCTCATGTTAGTCAATGACAATAGTGATGATCAAAAGGAATTTCATGAAATATCCAAGGCCATGCAAGCCTTTTGCTCCTTTTTTCATAGTTACTGTAAGCGCTGGCTGGTTATCATCCACACGCCATACAATCACATTTGGTGGAACTCGGAAGACCAGACGTGACCTTCCTATGGACAAGATCTTCGGCTTGCTTGTCTTGGTGCACGAAACACAAACAACGCGGCAAAACATGACAAGCTGGCTCGAATGACACCATTAAATCTTGCAGTGGACAAACACTCGTTTAAGCTCCCATATGGCCTGTTTTGATTAAGAAGCTCCTCAAGAGATGCTTGCCTCTCACAAGATAGCCAGCAGACATGAACGCCTTGCGGTGTGAGGCGTTTGAAAGATGCTGTGGCATTTGGCCCGCAGATTTGAACAGCATAAAGCTAGGACAGCGGATGCAGATGTTGTTTCTCATATGCTTGAAAGGGGGGGGAGGGGACCAGATAACGAAAAGATGAAAGTTTTCACATACCATTTGACTTGCAGAGCCACAGACGAAGCACTTGGTGTTTCGTATGTAACCTGCCATTCCAAAATTGCTGGCTGGCCGATCCCTCAAAGGCACAAGTGCAGAAAAGACTTCTGGATATACTTGTGACAGTACTAAATGATCTTACCTTGGGAATTTGAGAACTCATGCGCACTTTTAGGCAGACAACACAGCCTCTGTCATTTAGTGAATAACACTCCAGGCGGGATAGTTTGAAGGATCATGCACTCGACTAAAGTCTTCATAGTTAGCTTGGAGTGAATAAAGATTTATCAGAAATGACTGTCTCTGCCCGTTGTGTAGTTGCATACTGCATACCTCGAAACAAAGGGGGCCACTTGCCTGCTTAAAGTACAACTGTTGTCAATCACCAGGGCATCGGCACCCGCGTTCTTGTTATTTCTCGAGCCTAATTCTGCACTTGTATCAGCTTCAAATTTCGTTCCGTATCAAAATTGAGGCCAATCCAATCATTAAGATGTGAGTCGGAGTAATGGATAAGCAAACAGTGCCATCAGCTCGGGATTAGAGGTCAGTTATAAGGCCCAGCAGTTTCAATCAAAGAATGAGCCGTTGTACCCTATCGACTTCTTGGTAACTCCTCGATGTGTGCTGTAAAGGGTTGTGTATTCATAGACTCGGGGGTGATATCCGGCAACATCATGGAATAGTCTAGTCTAGCTCAGAGGCGAGACTTTGTCAACAAGCAACGACAAACATGCCGAGGAGATTTTAGTCCCGACTTCAAGAGCCAATATGTCGAGTGAGCTTTAAGTGATTGATAGCTTGGGGACCCTCAGTCGTATTTAGAATGAGGGTGGTAATGATATCGGGGGTTGATCATGGGCATCGGAGTCGAAAACAATAGTCGTGTCTCACCCTTGCCTTACTCAGTAGACTGAGTAAATACTGTCGTGGTATGTTTTCTTTCGACAAATAAGTTGTTCGATATATGTTGTTCTCTTCGGTCTCGGGTCGGGTGATGGTATTGCTGGACAAATGGTGTCACAAAGAACAAGTGCAGTGTTAAAAAGGTGAACTGCCAGAGATAACAGCTGTAGACAAGACACAACCGCACGAGTGCAGGATCTGGCTGTCTATATACCCACGCTTCGATTTCAAGTGATGGTGGCTGACTTGGGATCGTACAGGAATGGACTGAGAACTAAGAATCGAGAGGCTCTAGGGGGTGATTATGAGAATATGTAGGACAGGACTGAGTGAGAAGAAGACAATGAAGGGGCTAGGTCCTAAGAAGGAAGCCTGCCGAAAGTCTCGAAGAAACAACAGCAGACTCGGGGTCACCGGCTGGGGGCAGGGACTTTGAATGGGGGAAACTTGAGGTTGCGCAGAGCCTGAGACAACGGGAAGGACATGCAAGTTATGGAGAGCTTAGAAGCCCCAGCACTAATCAAATGATGACTTCTGAGCATCTTAGAGATAGCCAAAATGGTTTCGACCATGCCATGGCGGTGTAATGGATGGCCCAACTGCAAAGGACTGGCAGCAGTGGAGATCCGCGATGTTAACGGAGCCCACGGTAACAATTAGAAGCAGGAAGCCGCGTGCAAGTGCAGGGCTATGCTGCAAATCCTCCACGATTTTCGCCATCTGGACCAAGCAAAGGTCTTGAGTGCCCTGCCTAGATTCATTCCCGATTGAGCTCACGGGCCGCAAGACGGCAGCGAATATTGACCGCCGAGAACAAGATGCATCCACCGAGTCTAGTCTTGGCCAGCAGTGTCCAATTCATTGTATGCTTGTAGTTGGTTCGTCGCTCCTTGAAGGGCGGACGCAGATATCAGCCTCAGGACATAACAAAGCGGCAGTTGTAGTCTTGGTACTTCAAGTTGGGTACGGCCTTGGACGCTGCCCTGAGCCTGAAGACCATTATAATCCACTCCTGGCCCCAGTACGAGTGCATGAGTATGCAAGTACCCGGCCGTCAATGCTTCTACGATACGCCACAAGCACGACTATGATTGGGAGAGGTCCTGCTTTGACGAGAA